CCCTTCAACTTTCTGTATTTTCAGCTATTTTTAAATATTCATTTCAGCTTTCAGCTTTTTGCATTCCGACGCATTTTCAGCAGGAAATGCATTTTCTAGTTCTATATGGTCATCTACACATACATAAGCTGATACAGTACACATATCCTATTCATTCGTATCAATTCGATTCTATGGGCTTGTTTTTATCTGCATACTCTGAAAGGGTTGACATCATTGTTGGAATGCATTGAGATGCATTCCAAGTATTGTTCTTCGAATCTTTATTTCTTCATCTTCATCTTCTTCTATTTCTTCCGCGGCACCTTTCAACTCCTTCACACTTTCAGCTATTAAAACCGTTCAAATATTAAAATGTTCAGCTCCTTTCTGGCTTGAGGGCTATGACTTTTCAGCTTTCTACCTCTTAAGCTTGAATTTATATAAATCAATAATCATTAATATTTTAACATGGTTTTCAAATGGAGTTTGTTTTCAAATCCTCCTTAAACTTCTTCAACTTTCAGATATTTCAGCTCCGCCAATCTTTCAGCTACAGACACCATTTCAACTTTCAAATGTTGACACAGGTCTCAACTATTTTATGAAAAAACTGCTTGTGGATATCTATTGTACTTTTTTCATAATCACTGATTATGTTTCACTAGTTCTTCGCTCCGTTTCTGGCTTTTACATGAGTGTGTATTGCGTCTGCTAGAGTGGAGACCTCGAGGGCTAGAGTGTAAGGCAGCACCAGAATCTGGTTAAAAAAATATGGAACTTCTGTCCTTGCAGCCAAAGTATACACTCTAGAGGCTTCATTTCTTCAGATTAATGAGGGCATGGTTGTGCTGATTGGATTAATGCGTTCATGGAATCCCAGAGTTCTTTAGTTTTGGCGCAAGGAGTGTTAGAGTGACACAACCTCTGCCAAAAGCCCCATAGGCTCCAATACAAATCTGCCGACATATTTCTCACAAAAATCCACAAGGTACACGTTTTGTCAACGGCCATAGGAGCCGTATTTATTACCGGACAGACATAAAACACACATCCACGCGTTCGGTAGAGTCTTGGGTCTCATAAAAACGCCGTATTTTTTAGATAGCTGTTATAGTTTTGCGCTGAATGTCATTTGTTTGAGGTGTGGATTCTGTGTAACTTGCTGCCATGTCTCTGCCTTTCTCAGCAGCTCGTTAATGAGCACAGGTGCGCCGTTGTCGTGGTTACTCGCTCACACGCTGCAGGATCTCTGTCTGTGACTCACAGCTGCTCCTATGACCTGATTAGTGGAGTCACATGACGCAGCTATGCTTTCTGTCAACAGACCAATATGATAAAGACACTAGCCCCCCCTCCACCCTGACCTCTTCTCACTGTTAATCACTCTTAGTCAGTCAGTCTGTCTAATTCTCCTCCCCTCTCCCTCTCTATCTCTTCCTCACCACCATTCCCTTCCTCACCCTCTCACCCTCCCTCCCTCTATCTACACCCCCCCACCCCACCCCATCCAATAGGTGCGCCGTTGCCGTGGTTACTCGTACCACGCTGCAGGATCTCTGTCTGTGACTCACAGCTGCTCCTATGACCTGATTAGTGGAGTCACATGACGCAGCTATGCTTTCTGTCAACAGACCAATATGATAAAGACACTCGCCCCCCCTCCACCCTGACCTCTACTCACTGTTAATCACTCACTCAGTCTGTCTGTCTATTTCTCCTCCTCTCTCTCTCCCTCTATCTCTTCCTCACCACCCCTCCCTTCCTCACCCTCTCACCCTCCCTCCCTCTATCTACACCCCCCCACCCCACCCAATCAGATAATTTCAAAATAAAAGCCCCATAGAGGGAATTTTTACTGTAATGTTTGTGATGAAGCCTAGTAATTAAAAACGTCTTTTTATTACAGCTGTTTCTACTGCTATTGATACTAAATCAACTTCTACTGCTAGTACTACTAATACCACAACTACAACTATAACTACTACTAATATTACTACAAACAATTTTAAACCTCTTTTTATTCATCTCTATGGTTGAATGCACTTATTGTACGTCGCTTTGGATAAAAGCGTCAGCTAAATGACATGTAATGTAATGTAATCTCAGCTTTTGTTATTTCTGTCCTTTTTAAAATTCAATTAAGCTCCTGCAACTTCTGTTTTGTTTTGCAATATTTCACATTTATTTCAGCTGTTTTCATTTCTGCTTTTTCAGCAAATCTTTTGAAATTCCTTTCAGCTTCTCCCATTTCTGTATTTTCAGCAATTTCAAATTCATTTCAGCTTTTCTAATATCTGTAATTTCAGATGTATTCAAATTCCCTTCAACTTTCTGTATTTTCAGCTATTTTTAAATATTCATTTCAGCTTTCAGCTTTTTGCATTCCAATGCATTTTCAGCAGGAAATGCCTTTTCTAGTTATTCTTATTGAATGATGATGCATCTGAGTACAACCGCTACACATCCATGAAGCCTCCTGCAAGCAGACACATTTAAAGAAATATAATCTGATTGATTAAGAGGGACGAGGCACTTAAAATGAGCCTATACCAACAAGCATAACGTTAACTTGTGTGCTATACTTTGTTGGGCTTGTAGCCTAGCAGGGGCGGCGCTGTCAGTTTTTGCCATGATTATAAGATTTATTTAATGTTATTTTGTATAGCATATTATCGCAAATTTGCCTCAGAGGTCTTTACAGTCTGTACACATGTGACATCCTCTGTCCAGAAACCCTCACATCGGCACAGGAAAAACTCCCCAAACAATGAAAAAGTATTTGATGGGGAGAATAAAGGGAAAAAACCTTTAGAGACACAGGACGATCCTCCCTGGGACGGACAGACTGCGATGGACGTACAGAATGAACAACGTAAAATATGTATAATACGTTCAATTCATCCGACAGAAATGATTCAAATTAACATATTATCTCATTATATGTGTTCATGATCATTTCCTATCTAAAAGACGCTCTTCCTTTAAGTGTATTTGCCGTTATACTGTTAAACATCCTGGTTTCGGTGATTGACTCTTCGGCCTTCTAACGTAAGACGTGCACCCGTGATTATCTTGATGACTAACCTCTGGTTCAAACTAACGAGATAGTTTGAGCGCCGATCTGCCTTCGAGGAACCGAGATAGCCTGATGTCAATCATCTCGGTAATTTGAGCTGGATAATCGGACATTTGATCGACTTAGTTGAACCACGTACGAGGAACAGGGCAGGGCATCCACCTGTAGCTTTAGGTCACTGTAATCATTTGCCTGTCAACACTGGCTGCGTAGCAATACAGAGCGTGCATGGGGGATTAAACATCTCCTAGCTGTTGCTCTAAACATCTGAAGAAATCTCACAGTGGAAACAACCGTCAATCTGCTGACGCCTCCTATTCATGTGTTGGTTAGGAATCAGTGGAGATAATGGCAGTATTTGGGTATTAGAAAACCATTGATTTACACTTGAGACCATCTGAAAGCTTGAACTGCAAAATGATTTTAAAAATGTGCTACTTGTATTGTGGCTGTTTTGGGGATCTTCTGCCTTTGTCTTATCCAACCTACAACTCATATTTCCTCAGTGTGGTGTGTTTATTTATTTGTTATATTTGATATTTCTGTATGGAGTAGCAGTTTGTCACGGTTACCTACCTCCAAGTGATACACAACAGAATGCAATATGCTGTTAATCCTCACCGTATTGAGGTAGCCATGTTCTCCTTTTCTGTCTGGAATGTCTTGTAAAATCAATAAAAATATTTGTAGAAAATTTACTAATTGTAATTGCCTTAGTATTCATTATTGAAACTGCATACAATCCCTCTGGGGACTATCTTGGTATGAAATCTCGCTACTGAAAAATGACGCAAACTCAGAGGGTGCCATATTTGCAGTTAGTCAAGTGGCAACTTGAGGCCATCCTCAAAGAAGAGTAAATCCCCATAGACCTCCATGTTAAAATGACAAGGAGGAATAAAGCGGTTTACAGCGTTGTACAAATGTACTAATCACTAACATTATTGTTTATGAAAACTGTCCATATTTTGTTTTATATAGCTAAACTTAACGTTTTAATTAGTCTGTGACTTCCAGATCACAACCTGCTTGTTGATATTTGATATAGTCTGTGGTGCTGTTGAGAGACTGATCAGGGACCATGGCACCACTGGGGCATTTGGATGGGGGGAGGTGGCAAGCCTCTATGAGAAGGGTAGAAATAGGACTTTTGGTGACAAAAATGCGGCTCCCACATTTTCGGTATGTTCTTACCGGGATTGCAGCAGCATAACGGCACACATAAAGTTGGAGAGTATGCAAACAGGTATTGGTGAATTTGGAGGAGTTTCCGAGGCATGCTGGGCTAAGTAACAAACCTAATGTAACACACTTATTCTTCTGCTCAGTATGGGATTTGAAATGGTAAATCCCTGAAGAGATATTACTTCATTTGAAAACGTAAATCCCTGAAGAGATATTACTTCCCGAGCATTAGGAGCTTATAGCAACCAACTTTTTGAAAGATACCCATATGGCATACTGTATGTATTTGCCAAAAATAGACATGTGAAAATCCTAACCGAATTTTCACTTAAATGTCTCAGCTAAAACTTGAAAATGGTCTATGTTTATTTTTAAACAGCATTAAAAGAGATTACTGTTTTGAAATGGGGTTCTATAAGGTTCAACATTCTGTTGATGGCTGTCAGCTCGCCCCTCGTTTAGAGAAACGGCCAAGAATATTCACGAGCAAAGTAATATCTGGCTGTGGACAGGGGCAGCACCAAAACCTATTCTAACCACCTACCAAGAAAAAAAGGACCAATCTCTGTTTAAGTGTATGCTGGAGAACGTTGGATTGCCTTATTGATTGCTGGCGTGACAACCGCTATTTAACTGTAGGGTAAGACACTAACAATGGATTAATACCTCATATAACCCCACTTCAAAACACCTTTTATACACACTGAGCTTAATTAAGAACTCAACATGCACAACAGTGTTTGAAGTTGTTTCTCTCTTTCTCTTACTCCTGGGTATTCTCTAACTTCGTATTTTTATAAAGAGTGGAGATGAATGCACAGTACTACATTTAAGATGAAACATTTCTACGATGTATTTTGTGCCGCCTAGAGCAAATTAGCTTGTATCATGCCCAGTCATTACCCTCTTCTTTTCTGGTGTAGAGGTGCTTGGACTTGGAAAATTACCTTGCAATCTATAGTCTATATAGATGTTTAGATGTGTCACATTTGACCCCATCTCGTCTCTATCAAAATGATGGACACAAAAAGTCTCAGTTTGTTCCTTTACCTACTTTATATTTATTGAAAGCACAGCACTGTACCTATTGCAAGCTCTCTGGATCCACTAATCACTGAGTCTCCCCCAACTGGAATGGATTCCAGATGCTCAGATTTCAGATTCACATCTTTTCAACATTCATGATGAAGATGTGATTGTGTTTGTGATTCACAGTTCATCAGTTTAGCAGTGCATTGGTACAGCCCCACTGCACTGAAACCCGGTGTCAATGTCCTACCTGGTAGCAGGTTTATGCTTCTGCATATGGCAGGTGATACTGTTCTTCCCGCTTGTTACACCGTTTGGCTACGATTGACAGGTAAAGAACCAGCAGAATGAGCCAGTAGCAGGCATAGAGTATTGTCCCTGCTATCAACAAGGCTTTCTCTCTCTCACTAAATGGCTCCTGTGTTTCACAGTAGATTGTATATGCCACCCCCCCGAAGAGCACCATAGCCCAGACTGTGACAGGTACAGTGCCAATGAAGTTTACCACGATCTTCCTGCGGCCTGAAGTGCCCCATCCAGCCTTGTTGATGGTGAGCAGGGCAAATATTTTGGCGGGGAGCAGGCTGGACATGTAAAGCAGAGAGTACAGGGACATGAAGATCATCACCAGACTGCCACGCAGGAAACAGGCGTAGGTGGCCTTCACCATCCCGACCAGTTGGACTGTTAATAAGAAAAGCAGGATGTTCCAAAGCCTTCCACGGTAGAAGAGATGGATGACGGTGGCAACCAAGAAGAAAGGGAAGAAGCCTGTGACCACGGACTCATAGGTCATCCAGAGGCTGTGCTTGTGGAACCACAGGGCGTTATACAGCCACTCGCGGAAATAAGACTTGCTCCATCGAGTCTGCTGGTTGAGCCAACGCAGATACTGGGTGGGTGTCTCAGTCTGGCAATGCGATCGTGCTGTGAATTTAGTCTTGTAGCCAAAGCTGAGCACCCGATTGGTGAGGTGGCGGTCATCACCGAAGCTGCACTTGGAGCCCAGGAAGGTCTGGTGATACCAGGGTTCCAGGAAGCGCTGGAGCAAAGAGTTCCTATACATCCCCAGAGGCCCGCTGATACACTGGACACACCCAAAGTAGGACTGGCAGGCCCGCTCGATGTTGAAAGCCATCCAGTAGCGTACGCTACTTAGGAAGGAGATCCAGGAGTCATATTTATTAAGAATCTGGAGGATAGGAAATGCAGAGAACATAGATCAACAATGGAGAAAAAGAAAAATGTACTGTCATGACAGTGATGAAGTGAGCTTACAAACACCTCGCTTGGCGACGAAAGATTTTTTAAGTTGACTTTCAAATAAAACATTTATAGTCCTCATCGTTGTGTTGTATTTTACCTGCACGTCTCCACCAACCCCTCCCACCATAGGATCTTCCTCAAGGATCTTCAGCATTTCTATGGTGCATGCTGGGTCTAGAACAGTGTCTGAGTCACACACCTCAAAAAGGACATAACAAGCACAGGTTTTCAATAACATACACATATACTTTCATTGGACAAGTTAAGGCTGCCAGTGTTGCATAACACAGAGGGAAATTCATTAGAGAAATGAGAAGCTGCTGACAGATCCCAGCACCTTCATTCTAACTAGACTGAACTTGGTCAGCTGCTGAAATGACCGTTGACCCACAGGAAGGGAAAAATAGTGCATGGACAGATCCCCAAATCACTTGCAATGTGGAGTGTGCAGATGAGTATAAATTGTCCTCTACTGATGGCTTTGTAATGTGATTATTGTTGTACACTGCTACATACAATTGGTTATCAATTTTAGGGCTTGCTGCCAAATTATACGGCTAACTAATACAGTAAAAACCTTTCTGGAACATGGAAAAAGTCAATGCAGCAGTACAATTGCAAAGGACAGACTTTTCAGCTGTTACAAACACAACAACAAAAAAACACCAATAACATTAAGATGACAAGCTTGTATGATGAATATTCTGTTCCAATCTGATCAAAACATTGAGCAGAGAAATGTCCTTCTTTATGCACTGACTCAGGTCTTAAAGAGTTCTTTCAGTCTTTCAGGTTTTCATGTAGCCATTTGGAATCGGGAAACCCTTGAATATAATAATGACGTAAAGTGGCCCTCTAAACTTTATTTAAAACTTCAAAACAGGCATACTATTTTCAGTGTGCCTTACCTGCAAATAATCCACACTGTCCCCAAGTGCTTTAAAGGCAGTGTACATGACCTCTCTTTTCCCTCCCCACTTCTGCATGATACAGGAGAAGCGGCAGCCTCTGACCAGCCGAGCCACTCGTGCTGCCTCCTCCATGTGCACTGTGCTCCTCCCGTCACCTCTGACTCCTCCACCTCCACTCCCGTCACTGTGGTAGTTTCCCTTCCACACCATCCTGCCAGCCTGGTCAGCCCCGCCCATCACCTCTAGGAAAATGTCATTCATGTAGCTGTCCTCTGGCCGGTTCCCATCCACTACCAGCACCACCTTCAGACCAGGGAAGGAGATTCGGCGGACGCTGCGAAGGCATTTCCTCAGGTAGTCTGGGTCCTCCTGGTAAGCAGCAATGCAGAGAGCCACGGACCTACGGAGGTGCTGTGGCTGGGAGGGGCTCCTCATCCGCCGATGCTCCAGGAAGGCAAAGAGGCTCTGGAGGAGGAGATGGAGGGAAAGGAAGGCCCCATAGAGGCCAAAAGAGAGATGGTGCTGCTCAGTGTAGATGAACTGGTAGCCTTTATAGGGAAGAAAGCCAGTGGAGACAAACCATCACTTGTTATAATCACCATCATGGCCATCACTTGTTTTAATTATCATTTACATGTTTCTCTATGTGTATAATATTAAACGTAACCTGTAACATAGGCAAGCAGGATGGTAAAGAGAACCACCGCGGCAAAAAGGGTGGTGACCACAATGTTCAGCGCATTCCTGCAGCGAGAGGGCATCTGAAGGTGGAGAACGTGGGGTATGAGAAGGAGAACACAAATGAGAAGGAGGCAAAAGGTTTGTTGTATAGAAAGGGTGATATACTAAGGTGAATGAGAAGGCATTGTAGGCAGGAAAAGAGAAAAACTGCAAGTGAGCAAACTGCCTTTGAATAGACTTAACAGCAGTTGCAACCAAATGGGCTACTTACACGCGTGAGGAACTTGGGCATGTTATTCAATACGTTAAAGGGTAAATATCAACACAGGTCTGTTGTACAAGTCGGGTGAGACCATCTAAAATGTCCTGTTTCTTCTGGGAAACCTTTTTATTGACCAATGTCCGCTAAAAGGTACCAGCTGTCTGTCACAATGCAAGATAGCAATGCATTTGTGGGTGTCCATCCATCCATCCATTGTCAAACCGCTTATCCTGCACACAGGGTCACGGGGAGGCTGGAGTCCATACCAGCCAACTTCGGGCGATAGACAGGGTACACCCTGGATTGGTCGCCAGCCAATCGCAGGGCTACACAGAGACATACAACCATTCACACTCACATTCACACATCTACGGGCAATTTAAAGTCCCCAATTAACCTGATCCCCAGAGCATGTCTTTGGACTGTGGGAGGAAGCCGGAGAACCCAGAGAGAACCCACGCAGACACGAAAGGCACACAGAAAGGCCACTGGGCGGGATCGAACCCAGGACCTTCTTGCTGTGAGGCAATAGTGCTAACCACCACGCCACCGTGCCGCCCGTGGGTGTGTGTGGTCCAAAATGGGTATTGGTAACTAATTAGTAATATGGGAATATACTCAAAAAGACAGAGTAAGTAACTCGTTAGTGATATAATCCCTTGCAGAAATAATCGCTCATCAAGTCATTTGTAGACAGCTTATCAGTTATTTTAAAAACGGCTCTCTAACCATACCTGATGTTAACATATGTAAACACAGAGTAACAAAATAACTACAACAGTCTATTGAACAGAACACTTAGTTTACGCACACAAGGTATCTATTAGATTATGATTAGCTACAGTCAAACTTAACATCAGTAACAGATATATAGTGATTTATAGGTTAGAAGCTAGGTACTGAATTTTAAAGTAATGCCCTATTATATTTTCATACTGGAATTACTCTCAATTATCAATCATGCCTTGTAAAAGACTTGGTTTTTCAGTTCAGCTGTATTTGCTGTAAAACATCATTAAAAAAACAAAAAACACAACAACAATTAACCTCACTGTGTAAGGACAACACAGAGGTAAAAACCTGAAATGTCCTGTAAGTACTATTACTATTGCTTATTATTATTGGTAACATTTTACCCAAAGAATTACATCTCCTCCCAAACCTCCAGCTCAGACCATTTCCCTAACTTCACATCATGTTCCCCTCTGCCACTCCTTTCTTCCCGGTCCCTGGGTTAATAGTTCTAATTAAAGGCCAGCCTGGGTTGGGCCAGTGATTGGGAACAGTTCTCCCTTTTCATTCATGAAATTATCTCCTGGCCTCCCTCACCCTCCACCCCCAACCCACCTGGCCAGGCCAAGGCAAGAGAGAATGACTGTTATTTATATCTCAGTCAGCTCTCTAGGACACACTGGCACAGACAGATTTATCCATCTCTCTTGAGTGGGTGTATAGATTTACATCCTGGCACTTGAGAGACACTCCATCTGACATCTAGGTTCTGACAAAAGGGGAGTTTTGGAAATAGAGGTTTTGGAAAACATACAAAGGATTTTCATTTTCATTTTCTGTTTGGGTTTGTCGAAATGTTGAAAAATCCATCCAATGACTAAAAGACTAACAAATTGTAGCACTTAAATTATACTTATAATGGCACTTATCTGTTACTGTCCTGTTAATTTATATTGCACACATTTAATTTAATTTAAGTTTTTCTTTCTTACAACCTGCTCAGTTTTGCACTTCCTGGGCTCCTTACCTCATTTCTGCCTTATCCTTACCTCATTTTTATTTTTATTTCATGTACATTTATGTAAATATTGTATTTTTATTTTTATTTTAAATTGGTCGGCATTCCAGAAAAGGCAAGCACAAGAATTTCAATACACAGGGCATGTGTAACTGACAATAAAAATCTTTTGAATCTATAGCAAATTGTAAATTGGCTTATTTGAGGAAATTGCACTTTCTTGTTTCTTGTTCTTCTGAGTTTGTATCCCTATGGTTGAATGCACTTATTGTAAGTCGCTTTGGATAAAAGTGTCAGCTAAATGACATGTGATGTAATCTAATGTAATGTAATAATTTAATGGGGTTACAAAGTTACAGGGTACATTTATTATCATTGTACAAAAGAGTTTGGCAATTAATCACAGTCACATTTAACTATAAAAGGAGAAAAAATAAGTATAAGTTACTGTAGTTTATGTTGAGGGTTGAGAATTACGGTGTCTTACAGCTTAAGAACAAAAGCTGCAGGAGGGAGGTGTTTTCTGTCTTTCTTTTCAGATGAGAACGAGGTGGGCAGGCTGTGGCTGAGGTAGCTATTGTCATTTAATATTCTTCCAACCCCCACTTTTAAACCTTAGATTTTGGACCTCTGCATTTCTAAAATGCTGCATTGTGGTGATGACTCGAGAACCAGTTTCTCAAAGCACTTTATTCCAATGGGTGTGAGTGCTATGATGCACTAGTCATTTAGACTGGACACTGCACTATTTTTAGGCACAGAAATAATGGTGCATTCTTTAGAAATAAATAATTTCACCCAAATTACAGTTGTAGCTGGACTATGTGATCTGTTTTTATTTTCACAGCTATTGAAATCTTTTGAAAGACTCTGTCGGGAAGGGGTAGACAGAGGGCCACCACGTCAAATATTGCATTGCTTGTAATTATTTGATTTGTACATTTACTCTTGCCGCTGATGGCAACAGAAGAAGCTGAGGCAGCGTGGTCTTAACGTCCTGGGGGTACAGGCCAGTTGAAAAGCAGGCAGTAACATGGACTGTTTAAATACAAGGGTCTTAGTTACCAGAGGGACATGTTGGAAGGCGGGGGAGCTGGGATTAGCCTGGTGGCTATGTGGGGGAGGGAAGCAGTTACAATTAAAATATGTTATATCAGCCTGAGTATCGTGGCTGCAGCTACTTGTTTTTTATATTTAAATATTACTGGGCATACGTTATTTGCAGAAATGTATCAACCATGTTTCTGTCGAATGAAACTGAGCTAAATTGATTTATTATTAATAAGATGATTTCTTCAGAAAATCTCTGATTTAAGGAAGGATGCTTCAAAAGCTGTCCAGGACCACCAGATCATCAGTTCACAAATAATCATGGATGCAGATAATTCCAAATATCCAAATTAAGAACAATATGTGGAGGCACAAATCAAAGGCTTCTCAGAAGATTTTTTCAAACAAAACATATTCATCAATTTAATGGTGATACTCCTAGTTGTAATGTGGCAGCATCCAAGCTAACTTAACTTAATGCCTGGGACTCCAGATGGGGAGGTTGGGAGTGTTACTGACTAAGGATTTTGGCTTCAGGGGAAAATAATAATTATTGGAAATATTACCTGAATTTTCCAGAACTAAGAGTATTTGTCCCTGATCCAAAATTGACTAAACCACAGTCTTTGTTTAGTCTAATAAAATATTTTTTACAATCAAATTGTTACAGGCCCGTTATGTATGTAACTCACATACACTATGGTGTATTTTGGTGTACAAAAGTATTATATACAATGGCTTATTGTAGAAAGATTACACATAGCGGCCACAGCTATGCTGTTGGTGAATGAGAAAAGGTACAGAAGGAAGTGAAGCCATGCATTGCTTATATGATACTTTTGTACTAGGACCTAAATATCTAAAACATAAACATAATCACTGCAGCATTATATCAATATGAGTGTGGAGGGTTATACCCAGGGATCATTGCTGCCTTACGACAGCTAAACAAAGGCTCATTGTCTCAACACTGAATTGGGGATCGCAGTGAACAGGGTTTTTGGACATAACTCAATAATTCATATTCGTTATGAGAATTTCCCTCAGAAGTCTAATTTCATAAAAAAAGAAAAACTTTCACTAATTGTTCTTGTTACTTGGAAAGAATAAGTTGTTTGATGAAAAATGCATTGTTTTGGGTCTTTTTTTTAAATGTAATTAGCATCACTATATCAGCTTCTACCATGAATATTTGTGCTTTCTCGCATCACAGGTTTCATAGATTGATGTTAATCTGGTCCCTGGTCATGCCTCCTGACATGGTGGTTACATTTGATGGTGGTCTCATCTGATGGTGGTTATATCTGATGGGGGTTACATCTGATACCACAATGTTTACCATTTGGTTCTAAACTTTTCTTTCCTACAAATGTCACCGGGCTACCAAACAGAGGAGCATCTGCACTTGTTTTACGGTTCGCCATGTGAGGAAACATTCAATCGGCTATTTTTTAACTACCGTCTAGTATCAGCTCACCTCCCTTGGAACCATGACAACGGCGGTACCAAAAAATGTACCCGGTACAACTTTTGCTGATGAAGATGGTAGCCTTATCTCATCCAGTTATCAAAGCATTTTATTTACCTGAGAAAAGTAATTCTCCATAATTCCTATATATCCCATGACATGTTATGCACTTACTTTTGAACCCTTAAAAGAGCTAGGAGCAAGGGAAGGAAAATATATGGCTCCAAGAAACATTATTGTATATTTATTAATAGATTTCAGCCATGAGACCGCAACACGAAAACTGCATTTTCTTTTGAAAAGACTGGGCAAAAATTGACACAAGTGGCTGGCTTTTGAAAGAAAACGCATGAAAAGGAGAAATACCTTTAAGTAGGAAATCATACAAATTGTATGAGGACACGGTGCACCTGGTAACAAAGTGTTTACTTGTTGTACTTCTAGATGTAATAGTAAATTTCAGTGTGACAAAGTGATAAAGTTGGACATGACAAAATAAAGTCAGTTCCACAGTTATTTAAACTTTGCTGTTTGTACCAGACCAAGTGAGGCTGTCTACATCTATGAGTGAAATGAGCAAGAATGTGCTTCAGTGCTTGGAATTTAACTTTACATCATTAAAGAAGAATCATTTGTTATTTCGTGCCTCAAAAGTTACATGGTCTTGCAACTTTAAGATTATGCCATCGACTAATCTACCTTTTTGACACAAGCATAGTGTCTATGTAATTCATTCACCTTAAGTCTACTAAGTAAGAAAAAGCCAGCAGGTCTGGCATGGCAGTGATCCCATGGAAAGTCCAACGGGCCAGCGTTTTCTTTGGAGAAGGCCAAAGTTTCTGTCTACCGTCCACACAAACACACACACAGACACACACTTATTCTTCAACTATCACTCCGTCATTTTACAACGTCCCCGAGCAGTTGGCGAAAAAATGAGCAGCAGCTCATGGATTTCTTTAGTCGTGCCAAACTGATGGCTGACTTACTCACTCACAGAAATAGACACACACACAGTGTCAAGCAGAAAAAAATATTTTCTCTACCTCACATTGCAAACACACTCACCACACAAATCAGAACACATGCAGTCTTTGTATGGCATTTCCTGAACGTCACTTAATCATTTTTTTTTATGTTTCTAAAACCTTAACTACTTGCCAAACCTGAAGCGGATTTAAACCCTTTCCCTAGCATATCCTATCAAATTCGAATCCTAAACCCAAATGTAATTCCATAAGGAAGGATGTGTCTTATCGCTCTGTTTTCCTAATCATCAATTTAGTATCTTATTGCAAAACATATTTTAAAATCTTACCTTCCTGATCCAGTCGATCCTTGGCGTCTTTGTCTCCCACCAAGGACTCCCCCAGACCTCCGTCCGTTGAGCCGGGACGTCCAGCCTCTGCTCTCCTCAGCACAGCACTCTCCTTGTTCTGCACCCCTCCTTCTACTAGCTGCACCTGCCCCTCCTCTTCTTCCTCCCCCACCTCCTCCCTTGATCTCCCAGGACTGTCCCAGGGCACGAAGGCCCCAAACTGAGATGTGATCAGAGGTGCTCAGCAAGCAGCTGATGCTGGTGTAGTCTTGCGGCTGTAGCACACAGGTTGGGGGTGGTAGTCCATCCTTGTTCCTGATTTCCCCTATCAGCAAGGGGCCACTGCGAGGATGAAGGTGAAGATCGCATGAGGCATGATCGCAAGTCGGATTTGGTCTTTGCGCCCTGCAACAAATCATTAGCAGACTTCCTCACCTCCCGCCTCTTCTCCTTCTGCCCGTGCTGTAGTATCAACTCTTCTCTGCATCCCGTTTCCAGAAGAGCCCAAATGATTTTTCCTCCTCTTGTCCGCTGTCACTGCACTGTCCCGACACTATTAAGCTTCTCCTCTACATCTCCCCTCTCTGTTTCCTATAACCCCCCTTTCCTTGCCTCGCCCCCTCCCTTCCTTGGACACCCACAGCTAGCTCCCTATCCCTCTGCAATGCAGCCAGCAGTCTCCGACATGCCTTGGGACTGTTTGACCGGAGCCCCCTCTCTTCTTTCTCCACCTCTCCGCCTGACTCAAAGCATCCTTTATGGTCTTATTTATTTACCCTCCATCTCCTCTCCTTCACTGAAGCCATGCTGCTGACGTTCAGGTTCCATGGCTGGGGAGGCAGCCTCACACACACTGCATTACGCAATTTTACATTACAGGTCATTTTAGCTGACGCTTTTATCCAAAGCGACTTACCTTGCATTTTTAACCCATGCCCGGGGAGCAATTAGGAGTTAGGTGTCTTTCTCAGGGACACTTTGACATGAGACATGGAGCAGCCAGGGCTCGAACCGCCAACCTTGAGGTTCCCAGCGCACCCTCTCTATCCCTGCACCACATCGACCCAATTGAGTCTTTACATCACACTGCATTTCATTTATGTTAGTTGATAGAATGCATATTACAGAGAAACAGGCTCAAATTGTTCCACTCTATCACCTTACAAGTTGAGCATACCTGACAATACGTTCTCCTTTCTGGCTCCCTGACTGTATAACACACTTGAGTAAAAGTACTTACTGTTTCAGCCCTTGGGTTTTATCAGTCAAATGGGCCTTTGCTTCAGCACTGCAAAAGGCTTTGAAATATGCTTCTGCTGAGATAAACCTGACTCTTTCTTTACATTGAGGTTTGCAATAGGGCATGGTATCTTTTGGGAATGAGCAGAAATACCCCAGTACACCTAGTAGGGTCAACATTTTCCAAGACAAATGGTATCTGTAAATTATCCTATTTGTGCCCAAATCTAGGGGGGAAAAAATATTTCTATGGTTTTGTGTGAGTTCTTCAATACATAGTCAGGACTGCCTGCACAGGATAGCAGTGGCGCTATAGTCACTGCTAAGAGCACTATTTAGATGGATAGCGATTGTAAAAAGAAAGTCTCATTCTCTTTTGAGATGTTTTAGAAACAGGCTGTCTGAAATGTATTTATGTAAATAAGGGCAAATTAAATTGTTCACAGGATATCCAAGTCAAAACCATTTAGTCATGTTTATCATTTTTGTGAAATAGTCACTAGCGATAACAAATTCATATCCTAATAAATTAACTATATAAAAGAAGATATTAAGATATTTTCTTTTGAATTGTGGTCATGCAGTATTCACAAGGACTTTTTCCCATTTTGTACTGGTACACACTGGAATTCAAATCAACTTAAATAGACTTGCTCACCACAACATGCATAGTACTTCAAAGTTGCAAAATATCTTCTATTGTGACAAGCATTGAGAACAAAAAGGTTTATATCGGTTGGGTGTACAATTATTCACCCCTCCCCCCGAGTCAATACTTGGTAGAACCCCCTTTCACTGCAATTCTAGCTGGGGTTTGTCTCCACCAGCTTTGCACATCTAGAGATGGAAACGTTGTTCATTGTTGGATGAAGATGAACCTCGGCCAGAGTCTCAAGTCTTTTTAGACTGCATGGTCAGGGTGCATGCTCAGGGTGATCGGCAGTGTTGGGTTTTCATTGAGGTAAAAGAAGATTCAATTCTGATCTCATCTGACCACAGCACATTCTTCCACATGTTTGCAGTGTTCTCACATGGCTAGTGGCAAACTCCAAACGAGATTTCCTTTAGTTTACTTTCAACAGTGGCGTTCTTCTTGCTACTCTTCCATAGAGGCCACATTTATGGAGTACACGGCTAACTAACCAGGTATCCTATCCAGTTCAGTAGTTATTTATATAAATTTCCTTTTGAATGGAATCTAGCTACAGTACATTAACACATCTCACTACTCATGATAAATCAAGTTGACATGAGCGATTTACAACAAGCTTGTCCAGAGGGAAAAAAAGGAGACAATAACCTCCTTGTGTGGGACCTGATTGGTCTAAATATAACATTGTGTTCATCAACTTCATATCAGCTTTGGTTTGACATACACTGCATGTTGGTTGATAGTGGGAGCATTCTAATGCATTTATATTTGCTTTTGATACCATTAGCTACTAACATAGTTAATAACCCGAGTTGGCATTACACAAATTTCTTAGACGATACCTTACATTTTGAAAGTTTGTCCAACATTAATGCTGGAATAGTACAGTGTACTGTGAGTGTGTTGCAAAGGCAGACACAGGTATCACACATTCTATTTGTGTGTCAAATTTCAAAGACAATATGCAGCTTGTAACGGGCCAATCAATATTTACATTGAATACCGAATGACTAGGTTATAATCTCTGTTCACTTGAAGTGATTACACTCAGAACCAGCTGCCAGTCGCCAAAGGGACGGAGCAGGGGCCAAACCCATATCCCTAAAAGCAGTGGAGTGCCCTTTAAGCTTGGAATCCAGCCTGGTTTTCCTCCATCAAGGGTGGCTGAGCTGTCAAATCCTTAATGAGATCCTAGGTAAAATAATGGTAATAACATACCGATTTAGTATAACAATTAAGAACAACCTGTTTATAAAACTTTATTTGGATTTGGACTGTTGGTCGGAGAGTAGAACATGATGAATACTTATTTCGGAAGCTGCCGGTAGTTTGGACCTGTAGGTTCTGTGCGTCCAGAGGTACCATAAAGTTTTCGTCACATGGAGGCAGAACTAGTGCTGCTTAGAGGTAGAGCATATAAAAATATGTCCAAACTGTGGAGGGGTTATAAAGGAGATTAAAATGGTCCTATGGCAGGACAACAATCTTCTTCTGCAGCTTCTGCTTAGGGAAGATGAACCTCTTCATTATGTCATCCATCTCCTCCAGAGTTAGCTGGGCATGGAGCACAGCAACATCATCTGGGTCAGAGCGCACCACCCACTTCAGGGCTCAATACAGGTTCAACAACACATCACTGAGAACCTGGAGCGACAGAGACAGACATTACGTTGTTGAAAACATTTTAGACGGGTCTGCAAACCACTGGACGTCTGTTAAGACTGGTTTATTTTTGACGGGTCTACAGATCAATGGACCATTGATGCTTGCATTTGCTTTTTCACCCAGGCAAGTTTGTGCCTAACTTCTAAGATAAGACCCAAGTCGTACAGAACTGAGAAAGCAAGAAAACAAAGAAACCTGCTGTTTGCCAATGACATGTTAAGGTAAAAATGGGTGTAGGAGCTAGGTATTGTTGGTGCCACCTGGTACGCCCCTTTTCTTTCCTGTACGTTAATTGAGTCACTTGGTGTTTGGCATCTATTGGGATAAAGGTGTGTCTTCAATATTTGGTTAGGGAAATGGAAAGAGAGGGAGTGAGAGACTGAGTTTTATATTTTGTTGGCCACAAAACTACGTTGAAGTATTCTACACCGATGCTTGATTAATTGTATAATATACCTAAATCAAACCAACGCAGTTACTGGATCAGGAATTCATTGAAGGAAGCGCGTCCACAAATCTCCCCTACTCACGCAAATCATGTCACCTACAATGGGTGTCCAACAAATCAATTTACAATAATTTCTATATAATCATGATTAATGTTCCAATATCCATATTAGTCTGTAATCATCTTCAATTTCTAAGGATAGGAGCTATACAACAAAGTACACCTTGTCCTTAAACTGAGCACAGATGTGCATTTTGGTATTCATGCTGGCATCTGGCTGTTTGATTAAGCAGTTTGTGGGCAAGCCATACTTAGAAAGAGGGGGCTGGTTGATAGAGTTCATCAGGGTGGAGAGACAAAAGGTTTCCCATAACCTCGTAGGGGACATGGAAGGCAGAGGGGGAGGAGGGAGGGGATCATTGGATTCCCTACGCTGTTCTTGCGCTACCTGATGGCCCACGCTCACACAACTCATGTGTATCTAAGACCACCTGTTCTCATTGCACTCAATCATTAGGCATATACAGCTGCTGTTCCCTTCCAGCTGTTTCAGTAATGACAGGACCTGGCCTAGGAACAGCAGCTGGACGGCTCACCTGTAGGTGTGTTCCCACTAGGCAACCACAGAAAGACCAATTCATGTCACTTTCATACAAGCAGGGTCCAACGATGGGTCTTTCATTAGGCTCCAATACTTTTATTAGCAACACTGTGTGCCATGAATACACAAAGTAGCAGAATTACAGCAATGACAGACAAAGAAAAATTGAGTAAATCCAGCCAGACATTCTGCCTCGCTGCTGAACAACGGAGCAGTGATTGGCTCTGCCCCTGTGGTGGACTATCTAAGAATAATACTTTGGCACAGACGGCATCAGTAACCACACATTGATAGTGGGCGGAATTCGAAGCAGTGAGAAAGAGTCAAACATGGTGTTTGGAGGGAGCCTCCTTGCGACATTTTGACCAAAGGGAAGCTGGGACTAGATTACAGGACTAACAGCAGCCTCTCAAAAATCATGACAAAAACCTCAGTGGTTTTGTCGCTGAGGCCTCGGAGCAGCAGGGTGATAACATGGACAGCAGCTCTCCTCACCTCTGCCTCCTTCTCAGTTTTTGTCAAAGCGGTCAGACAGGAGCAGAGCTGCACACATAAAAACTAATGAAGTTAGTGGTGTGAACGTGGAGGACTTATTTATTTCAAACGGAGTAGTGCATATTGTAGCAAAGACTAGTTTTGCACAGTGTAATATAGTCACTCATATTGAGTACACAATGTTTCTGTTCGAAGTTGGTTCTGCTCGGTTTGGAACCCAAATGGGAAGACTTCGAGAGTAACAAGGGGATCACAAGAGGAGTCTCCTCAGATGAACCAATGAAGAGTCATATCACTAATGGGGACATGTATTTTCTAACAGCTGAGAAAGCCCCACTTGTGTCCACTCTGTTGAAAGGTACAGGCCTGCGTCTGTGGCAGGCAGTGGATAACCTGGCCCACCTTGACCAGAGCAGTATCACCTGGCTCACTTCAAGTTTATACTTACTATTTACTCAAGGAAAATAATATATTGATTTGCTTCCAGTTCATCTGGAATACATTGGCAATTAATGTTTTTTTTTTGTTTTTGTTGTTTTTTTAAGATCAGATCGGTAGTTCATTAGCTGACGATACAAAACATTGACTAATGTAAATATGCTGTTATTCATTTTGTCAATGTGTTTGTATGTGTTCCTAACATGTACCCCATGTGTCGGTTATTAGCATCTGTGATGGCCAAAGCCCCACAACATTACCTTGTTGCAGAGTTACCTTACTGGTTGGACAAAAGATGAGGCTTAAGGGGGAGTGTTCATGAAAGAGGCCTGAGCCAAGGACCATACCAAGAGCTTTGACAGCATGGGGGAATTAGGGTGGGTTTGTCTTACGTTGTAAGTCATATCTTTGGTTGTCTTCGCTTTTTGTTGGTTTAGTCTGCCACATATATATAAGTGTTGGGGCGGTTAATGAAGTGGATGCATTGCATTGGTAAACCTTATTCTGGAACAGTTATGTTTTGCTAACTCCTTTAATTGTGTTCAATGCTAGAACGTCATTTTTTGGGGGTGAGGGGGGTTAAATGTTCCATATTGACAAATGTTTGGGAAAATGAAGCAATCCTTTTGCAGTAAAAAAAAAATGTTTCCTTGTGCCTTGACAAGCATCTGTGAGCATCCCTGTAGAAAGGCGTTTTGTGTGTATTACTTTTTGTCCTCTCTGTGGATCACAGGAAGATTAGCTTCAGTTAATGGGTATCCAATAAATAAACAAATGGGTGAATGATGACATTAAGTGTTGAAGAGCTTTAAGTGATACGAAGACTAGAAAAGAGATATACAAGTACATTGTGATTAGCATTCATGTACTGGTACGAGGGCTTATGGCTTGTGTGTCTACTTATAAGTACTTAGTGAACCTTATTGAGGAAGATACAATAGCTGAAGATGTGTCTCTCATCCCTCTAATTTAATACTGTCGGTATGACATGAAATGTTTTTATAAAAGGTGAACGCTGAGGTCAGTCAGTTTGAGCCCTAGAGCTCAGGCATCAGACACAATGCAAATACTTTCAGGTTTTCGTAGATTTTTCCTTTTCTGAAATTGTTGAAACGGCAGAGTGACACAGACTGCATGAAATATGTGCAATGATGTTTGAGGAAACAAGGACGGTGATAGATGCAAATCCAACGGTTCTGATAGGCTGCTGTATGCCTTCATGAATCGTTCAGGTGGCATTTCACATTCATGACTTCATCCTATTAGAAATTGGTCACATTTAGCATACAGTCTTGTTTGTTAAAGCCAAATAACTACCATTCAAGGGGATATTGATATTTGACCAAAAATGTTTACCCTTAAGTCCAGGCATTTCTGGAGGGACCACCAATAACATAATGCCGTTATGATACAATCAATTACATTCTCCCATCTCCCTGTATTGCCAAATTCCTACAATTTACCACTATTTACCATGTACTGGTAGAACCAGTTCAGCCAATAAGATTTCATGTTGGTTTGCTCCCAGTTCCCAGGGTATAGTCCAGTCTTGGACAGAGCTCCCCCGGGTTTGACAAACTGCTGGCCCGGAGACTTTGGTCGGGGTCCCTGGTTCCTTGCAGGAAAACGCTAATCAGAGGATGGCCGAGGTGGGTTGCCAGTTCCCCTGGAGAAAGAGGAGTGGGTAGACAGGTTAGATGCATTCACAGTAATCAAATATATATTTATACAGTTAAATTATGTAAAATGATGAAGATGTAAAAAGTGTGCGCACTTTCAAAGGGCTTTCCAAAGACATCTCGATATTCTACCAGGCGACTCAATTAAAAAAAGCTTCTTATTTACAAATGTCAGACTGGCGAAAAGAAAATCTTGGCAACTCAGGAGGAGGTTTCAAGACAAACACTGAGGCTCTCTGGATACCTATAATCCAAAACGATGATCTATCTAACCACACAGCCGGGATTTAGACCCCCGATTGTCCCGGCCTACTAGAGCTTTCTCTCAGGGGAAGGTTTTGACGAACAGGGTCCCTTCTGAGCAAAACTGTCAAAGTGTGCACGGTGGCCTTTGTGATGTGGTGGCTGCATGCCGATAGCTGTCCACAACAGTGAAATAACAATACTGTAAACAAACATGGACAGAAAAAGGGGATTTGTTAACGTGTGACGACCCCTGCTGTGGAGGCAGCAGCCTTCCAATGAGATTTGCAGACGTCCGGTGTGGTAGGGCAGCCGCCTGTTGAATCCGGTTTTCCTTTGGGTTAAATGCCCTGGACAACACCCACCATTTACACTTTACCCTCATGCACATCCTACACTACTGATAATACTGACATTCGCATCCCATCTGGAATGGTTATGGTTTTTCGTTGTTTTGTGTGTTAAATAAAGAATGTTACACCTCGGAAACCAGTGTAACTCCAATCTTGTCATGGCCCAAAGAGCCAGGTCGTGACAAACGTTACAGGTGTGAATCTTCAATGATGCTCAATCACATCTCCCATCTATGCTACTACTACTACACATGGATACTTTTATGTCATATAAGTCTACTTTATATCAATCAATAGTTAGTCATTAGCAGACCCTTGTATTTAGAAAGACTACAATATGTATATAATGTGAAGATCCTTATGTATCAGCATCTGTGTCCCATTCGAGTATTACTAAAAAGTGTCCAGTGTAAAATAAGTAACAGATGACCTGCTACACAGAACAATCCGATCACCCATCAATGCAAGCTTTACACTTTACAGTAAACACTTGATCTTGGATGGTGATGGATGAAACCCACTTACCAACAGAAGTGTAAAATAATGTTTTTCATGGAGAAAACTCTTTTCAGTGTGCTTTTTTGTACTTCGCTGTTTGTTGAGGGCCCAACAATATGTACTGCGAAAACGGCAGCATGCACAATCTGGTGCTTGAACTTAAACCTTCAATTATTTTCCCTTGAGTGAATATCAATCGTGAGACTTGATTTATAGTTTGGTGATTTATTTTGTATATTATCTTGATCATTTTAATTATTAGAATTGATTCTATGGGATAGAGCTCCTCATAATTAACTGCACCCGAGACTTATTTATGGTGGTTATTTGCAATTTACAATTAGAAGATTGTATTTTTATTAGAGATTAGTTCCGAAGAGTCTTTTCCCAGTACAACAATGTAGGAGCTCGGACACCATAGACATTGACAAGCGGTAACTTGTATAACCAGGGTTATTCCCAACATCCCTACTTCAAACAATGCTCTAAAGAACCAATTTGATTACCACAAAGAATTGCACATAAGATTTGTTGTTACAGTGCAATGATATATTTAAATGATTGAGAATAATGTTTTAGTAAGATTAATGAAATCATGCATTTTTTCAGTAAGGAACTGGACAAGGCTAGTGGCAGGCAGACCACATAATCAAAGAACGATAAATATAAAAGAGAAAATAATCTAGCTAAAATAGGCCAAAATGTTATTATAAATATATCTCAATTATACCCCCCCCCCTTCTCCCCACTAGGGATGATGAAATATAATACCATCTCATCCCATATGGTTAAGAATATATAGATGGGAACTTGTGAGCGCAAGACAGATGCTCAGACGGTAAGATTGCCTCCGTTTCTTGTTATTTACCATACTTGACTTTGTCAAGAGGGAGTTTACTGCGTCAGACACACAGGACACAATCACATTAAGACATGGGCATCAAGCCAAAAGAGTATCTGGTGAGACAAACCGTGTGAAGAACCAACAGACCCAACAAATCAACCAACAAACTCACCCATTGCCCTGGTCGCCCTCATCAGAACCTCTCCCACTTTGAGGCGGAATTCCAGGGAGTGCTCCTTGTTGGATGTGGTACGGGAGGGTCCATGCTGAAAGTCTTTCAGAAGCCTTTCCAGAACCCTCTCAGGGTTTGAATCTGCCAATGCAGACAAACCTAAAGACACACACAATCAGACAATCTATATACCTATATAGTTACAGATCCATGCTTCAGCTTTATAGTTAATAGTATCAATGTGATGGAATCATCATAACGGCACATTTGGCCAAGCTTGACCATCATATTACCTTGAATGGCTGACAGGTAGATGAATGAGTCTTCATGCTCTAGGTTTTCTAAGAAGAGCTGGAAAAGATGGTAAAGATACTTTTATAAGGACATGCCAACATAAACTGGCAGAGCTGAGGATCAAACCACTGATTGAAGGACGACCCAAGCCACGGTTTCATCCAAAAGATAGATCAGCATGATCAACACAGACAGGACATTTCGGCATCGCTATGGAAATATTTGCATCTAAACATCTAAAATGTCACCAATATGGATTTTTCTAAGAAAACAAAAAATAAATAAATAAAAACGTGTTTTTCACTGAATTTGTTAAATACAACAACCCAAACAAATCCTTGTGCTTTAAGGACACCTTGGAAAACAAGGCTTTCTTAGAGCAACTGGAAAGAATGGGTTGGAGTTGACAAAAAAATATATATTTTCTTCTAGTTGGGTGTAACAATGGGTTGGGTTTGTTGGTATTTTTTGGATATGTTAACAAAAAAGACAGTGAAAATATTCATTTAAATGCATAGTACTATATTTTGTGTCAGTAAATTTCTCCAAATAACAAACATTAAGGAATGAAGGAGGATATAAGAAACATATAAAAAGGTAAAATGTACAATGCAGGAGACCCAAGCACTAAAGGAGAAAAAACTAAATCAATAAAAAGGGTCTCTGCTGTAACAAGGGAGTGGGTGGAGGGGATGGACTGATTACAGAGAATTATAAATGAGTTTAGCCGTTCTTGCCTATACCGCCTTAACAAGGCCCTAGGACGCTCTGGCTCATTAATTATAAATGTTTTCTCATGTCCCAGGAGACAAACAACACCACAACCTACCTGCGGCTGATTCCCACATACTGTGCATGGAACAATAGCACTAGGTCCAACTGGCATCCTAGCGTCAATACGTTTCCCCAGAAGTCAGTCATGAGATTGCATCAGCACATGGGCTAACTAGCGATAGGAGCTAAGCTAACACAGCTAGCCCCATAGGGAATTCCACAATCAAGAGACTCTAATCAGATAAGTCCTGCACAGCTGTTTCAAGTACCAATTACATTTGGCATCTCAGCCACAACCATTTCAGGTTGCATCAGGAGCCCTTGGCTCTGAGACCCCTGCTGAATGCGCTAGACTCAAATGAACTACAGCCTTGATCTGCAGTGCTGTCCAAACATGCCAAATGGCGTGATCACATTTGCGTTACAATAAGCAAGTTCAGCCCCGATAAAGGGCAAGTGGCAACCATTAGAATGTGCAAATCTTCTAGAACTTAATTCCACTTAAAGCCAATAAATGTCTCTTTTACTTAATCAGTCATGCCTTACTCTCACTTGCCCAGGTCCACTATAAAAAGGATGACCTAAATGTCTATATAGTGTAGTAACAGACAAACATCACATGAATTATTAATGTATAATGTGCATTTCTAATAAATGGTGACGCTTCTATCAGGCAACAACCCTGTTATAGGAAGATGTTTGTGTAACGCCGATGGTTACATTCACCAGCAAAAGGCTTGTTTTCTCAGTAATTCAATTGTTCTTTAGTCTACATTCATCTTAATACAGTACAACTTATTGCATCTTGTAATACAAGAATTGTTGTGTAGAGAAGTAAACTAGCAGATATTTTCATTGTGTACACATAAGGCCAAACCATGTTTTTAAAGATAGCTTCTTATTCCAAAAAACCCCATGTAATTAATAGTTTCAGTGCATCAAAGTCAAGAATTGAAAAACTCAAATTAAGTTGTATACAAAGCAACCAACCATCAGGAGCTTCTCCTGGGTGTGGGCAGCCTCTGGGTTTCCTCTCTGCACCATCTGAGTCAGGACCCTCAGGGCGAACGCTCTGGTTGGCACATCCGGGTCACAAGCTTCTAGCAGCCAATCGGAAAAAGGCTTGGTAGGAGGGTGAAGGGTACTGGTTCCAGAAGTCCTACCTTCTGGACTTACTTTCGCTGCAGACTTTCCAAAGGACGCTGGAGGTCTATTGCTTTGGGCGTTTCGGTCTGGTGGCGATGAATGAGGACTAATCTGGGGGTTGTTGGCTCCGGTTTGCGTGTTCTTGACTGTCATTTTAGGCTTCATGGAGACCGAAGCGACAGCGGGGAAGTTCTCAGGCCGGTAGGCCCCATGAGTGGCAATGACAGCTCTGAGGTCGGATGCCAGCTGCTGGATGAGCACCTCAGGGTGCTTCTGAGACAGCGACTCCAGTGGCGGGAGCAGTCTCCACATCGAAGAGTAGTCTTCTTGACTAAGCTTTAGTACAAAAAGGGGAAAGGTTGTTTGGGAGACAGCTTAGGAAATCCTGAAGAACATATATTATTAACTTAAGATGCATGTACAACTGGTAGCTCCCGTGAATTTCACTACACTTCTGTCTGTATTTGATTGGCTTTGTCGTGTTTATTACTAGCATACTAATGGCATCTGACAGAATACATTTATAAACACCTGAAAAGGAACCGGTAGAATTAGGTGCACCGAGGAATCTGTTTGCATCATGATGCTCGGTCCTCAAACATTGACACTTTTCAAGCCAAAGAAATTTTTACTGGACCAAAATAGAGATCTATGATATTTCAGTTAACCAGCAGATAGTGGCCTAAAACAATACAAGTACAATAACTTGTAACTTTATAACTTGTGAACTAGCCCCCCACAGGTCACACTGTATATCATGTCTAAGTTAATCGTTTCTGCTTACTGTATGGTAAAAGATTAGTTTCAATTAGAACATTGTATGGAAAATGCCGCCCAATCCGTATGTCCATTTCATTCCTTTCCCAGTTTAAATTGTCCACTTTCCTGCAACTTTGTAACCCTAGTGGACGGTCTGCATCTCCCCTTTGCTACATTTCTGTCTCTCAATTTCTCTATTTATATAATTAATTTATACAGTGTTATATAATGTATATATACACATTTCAAATTATTGGCAGTGACTTGACTTTAAAAAATACTTTTGATGCAGTAAATTATGTCTACTATTACCATTATGCATTACGCTTCATTAAATTAAAGTAGCAGGTGGATTAGCTCGCTACAACTTGTCCTGTTGGCGATGTAAAATTAGAATTGTTGAAAAAGATGTGTAGAGAATCATATATCAGTTGGTAGTTAAGTAAATGTTACAGTAAAGAGTATTTTTATTACCAGACCAATATTTGATTAATGCTGGTGAAGAAGTAAATAATACAAGCAACACAGGCAGCTTTGAAAATACTGTATCCATCTTTTCCCTGTGGTAAATAGTTAAGTCAGATTTGCACATTTTCATGGGGGAGAAAATGCATTCAACACATAATTACAATGTAAATGTACTTGAGAGTAAGTGAGAATGTAGTTAAAAATCAAGTGTGACTACCTTAGGTCCAGACAGCAGAGTAGCCACAACGCCTATCCCCAACCGCAGCGTCTCGCTCTCTACTGGGCTTCCAAGAACTGGACCAGAGGCCTGACCCAGACCCAAACAGGCCCTCTGAAGCATAGACATCAAGAAGTCCACCACCTGGAGAGAATACAAGCAGAATCATGGGCACAAATGATCAAATATGATCAATATTAAAGTCAAATCTCACAGTGGCAAATATAGGACAATTAAGATAGTGGCTCTTCAAACAGATGAACATTGTGTCCATAGAGTATTTAATGATGAATGTGCACGATGAAGGCAGTGGTACAAGTGGAAGGATAGTGTGGGGTAGAAGTAATGCTCCTTCAGGGTACATCACTATAGTTCTCTAGGTATTGCGGGATGGGGACAGATATGCAGCCTGTGAAGGCAACAGACGTGTACCTCTTGTTTACATCATCAACTAGAATAAATACTAGCAGAGCTTTGGAGAGAGCTACATTTTCACTATCGATAACAGGAGGATGTTTTGTTTGCTGACAAGTGATTCAAACTATGTATTAGTGGATAATGGAAGTGAACATGGAGATATAGGCTCCATTTGACTTATTTTCTAATTTGATCTTTTGGCAGTGTAAATATAACCCTCCATTTGACATCCGGTATCAATATGCTGAATATAGATGCTGAATATATTGAGTTCATAATATAATAAAATGATGGAACTAAAGCCATTGTTTTTTTCATTGTGACTAACTACAAACTTGCAGTATTTTACAAAATACCAGATGGATAGGGATAAACAAATGATATGCGAAAAATTTTTTTAACCACATTGGAAGAGAGGTTCCTGTGCTGAGAACTCCTACGGGGTATTGCTTTTAGCTGTGCCTAGAAGAGTAGGTCTGTATTAAAGTTACCCACCCAAAATATAATATTCCCTTTAAAAGCGACATCGCAACAGTGCAACAAAATAAGAGACGTTTAAATATTTGATCCCATCAAAACTCTCAAAAGAATACGTCGCTTATAAGAATACTCTCAAAAAAAGAATAATAAAAGAATAATACGCTTAAATGACGCGATTCCTCAAAGTTATGTTAATACTCATATTCCTCAAAAAGCAGGCCAAGGAGTGGAGAAGTAGCTATTTTTTACTCTTGCCTTTTAATAAATCTTAAACCTAAACTAGATTATAACTCATTTAAAAGCATCATTCTCAGTCTTTAGTACCAAACCTGGAAATCGATACAGATGGTTCTCCTTGTAGTGTATTGTCCCATGGTCCTTATTCAGAATTCAATAGTCTAAACAAGTTTGGTCCTTAAAAGTAATTATTTTGGGTCAATATTTACGTTGAAGAGTCTTGGTCCTGCATTTATTGCATTGATACATTCAATTGGTTTCCGTAGGTGTTCAGAGACCTACAAATTGTTTTAATAACTCCATGACCTGGTTTTGGTGGAAGGTATTGGTGCTACCATATCATGATAAACCGTGTAATAACTCTGGAAATATTTTGTCTATCTCGACAATTTCTTTTTAGTGAGGAAAAGCCCTTGTGAGTTTTTGGATAATACTGGTGAAGAAATAAATTAATAACAAAAAAAATCTTTGAATTTTGTGAATTGCGTGAAATAAAAGCCCTATAAAACATGGAGACACAAGAGCAAATCTACTTGATAGTGTGTGGACAATACACATGTAAAGTTTCACGTTGATAGGATTAATACTAGGATTAAAGTCTGGTAGGCCGATTTGTCACTTTCAACCACCTTTTTCAAATTTGCTTTTGGATTGGATAAATTGGATAAGACTAAACCCACAAGGAAATGATTAACAGCTTCCTTAGCCACTCAGAAGCCAAAATCGGTAGAGCATAAAGTGGCACTCGCGAGTGGGGATTGGCTGAAAGACGGATTCATTTCATAATACAAAAAAAAAAAAAGGTAAGGGGCATTTATGTTTTATATGCTTATTTTTTGTTGGTTTGAAGTGGTTTTATGATGATACTTATATCCGCGTCTTGTTTGCTGCCTGCTTTGCCGAGGAACAAATGCACCGCCATGTGCACATTTTCTGGACTAATTTGTATATCATATTTTATAACTTGTCGGAGTTGTGTTGAGTATTTTCAAACGGATTAGTGTATATTGTGGCTAAGACTAATGTACGAACGGTGTTGTAAGTCGCTTTGGATAAAAGCGTCCGCTAAATGACATGTAATGAGAGTGGAGCTGAGAGTGGCGCTGGCGGTTACATGGTGGTTATTTATTTATTATATTTCAGGTTGTTCATTCTGTACACATGATATCTATTGCATTCTGTCCATCCCGGGGGAGGAATTCCTCATCTGCTATTTTTTTCCATTTTTCTGCCCGTCGAAGGTTTTTTTAAAACTTTTTGCAGGAGTTTTTCCTGTGCCGATGTGAGGGTTTAAGGACAGAGGATGTCTCATGTGTACTGATTTTGAAACCCTCTGAGGCCAATTTGTAATTTTGGACTATGAAGTGTTTATGAAGTCTTGATTTGAAGGAATTTATGTATCACTATTGGCATAATCTGCCTCAGTCTATGAGTTCCTCCAACTGAATCTCTCTCCACTGACCTGTGAGTTTTTTCTCAGCAGCACAGTATGCTGCACACAATCAACCATCACAGCCAACACCTGAAGCAGAGCCAGTTTCCGGCTTTGCTTCGCAGATGGAGCCAGCAGCCGCTGCTCCACCTCCATAAGTGTCATGGTGGTGTAATGGGAAAATGATATGTGACCCTTTTAAATGCTTCATTTGTATAACCAGTGTATTAGTTGCAAGTGCTTAGGTCACAAAGGCCCTGACATAAGAACTGATGTCTCCCACTTGGATTAGATGTTTCCAGCGTCATAGCTGTAGAGATTGAACAAAGTGTTTGTTATGTCTATGACCACCTTTGTTTTAGCATGTTGGGAGAGCAGGGACACGGTCAAAGAGCTGACGTGTCTTACATGGATAAGATGTTCCCAGTACCCTGGCTGTAGATACTCAACAAGATGGTTAACGGTTTCTGTTGACGCCACCGATATCTAAATTTAGGTATAAGAACTGCCTTGATGTGTTGGGGCAAAAAGGAGGTTCTTGACAGTCTACTGACCACGTAGCTGTTGTGACCCTTTTTCCCTTGCAAGGAAATAAACGGAGAAAAGACATACTTGACTCAGAGCCTTTGTTTCTTACTTAACGATTGTCTGTGCAAAATCGTCCACCACAGTGGATATGTCCAGCTCTGGGTCATCTTCCCCTTCCCCATCTGCTGCAGCTTCCTAGCTGGCCATCTCCTATAGGAGAAGCAATTCGAAGATAGAATGTTGACTGAGGTTACGGTCTCCTAAGGGCAAAATACAAATAACTGAAGCACCACACAATAGAATGAAATGGCCACAGATGTGGAAACCTCTCTGCCACTTAGCACAAAAAACCCCACAATCATTTGTTTATCACAATGGATTAAATCGTTTTTACAGGTGTGTACACCCTACCTGTAGCAGGTCGAGGAAGAAGTCTCCAGGCAGGTCACAGTGTTTGAGGTCAGCTAATAGCTGCATAAGACACTCCAGCCTCCACTGCTCTTCTGACAGCTTCTCATACAGAGCATCGTCCTCTTCACGGGAAGACAACAAGAGGGATGAGAGGGGCGACACTAAGAAACAAAGAGGCCAGTTTTATTCATACCTGCTAACTCACAACGGGTGAAAAATGTGACAACGCGGGGCAGAGGGGGGCCCCGCAACATTCCCTTCAGGATAATTTTTCTACAAAAATGAGCCAATGTAGAATAATCTATCAGACAAATTAGGCCGGGTCTTATTTTCTTGATCAAACTTCACATTCTACCACACCACATCTACGTCTAATGAAACCTCAAGCTTTTATGATTACAGTGTTGTGATTGCTCTGACCAAAGATTTTTACTGATCTGATTAAGAAACACGTACGGTAATGATCATAATCTGGTATTAGCGGCAACTTAAAATTTCAAGTCAACGGGTGAAAAGTTGGAGGAGAAATGAAGACGCTGTAGACATCTTAACACTGATTGGCCAGGACTCAACGCATCCTATCAAATATGTTTTACTGTAAAGATCACGTCACCTTTTCTCCATGTCTCACTCCAATCTCAGAAACGCTGGCAGGCCACTGGACCTGCCCATCCCAAAAAAAGAAATTTTATCGTGGCTGATTGGCCCAAAAGAAATCCTATTCTACAATATTATTCTTTTGTCCGGCTCATCCTGTCATGGGTTTGGGGAGGCCATGTCCATCGTTTGCTTCTGCTGGATATCTCCCTTAAGCTCAGACGGGCTCCTCCATCACTGCCCGGGGTGAAGTGGAACTTTGCTGCTACCTCGTTTTTTGGGTCCTGCAGACCTGAAAGCTGTCTCAGTGCTGACCGGGCCGCAGAGGTGTCAGCGTGGCTCAAGTACCACAGAAGGATCTGCTCACAGGGGGCGCTATGGAGCCAGGAGCACACACAGAGCTCATTGTCAGTTTCCTACCATAGAACACATTCAATACAATTCATGTATTCTTCACATTTTTGCATATTATTTATTATTATTATATTATTGTGTGGAAAAATGTCATGCTCTAAACTGGGAACGTCTCTAACATCTATTGGCTTTCTCTAGGATTGGCAACAAGCCCCAAAACAACCATGTGTTAGTTCATCTTTTGAGGTTGAGCTTTGATGTTCGGGATGTTCTACCATTCAGTTGTGTCGGCTCTGTACTTCTCCATAGTCTGCTGGGGAAGCAGCATCGGAGTTAGAGACCCCAACAAACTTGAACTGGTTAGGAAGGCCGGTTCCATTATCGGATTAAATTGTCTATATTGGGTAACCAGGACCACCCTCTGATAACCAGGACAACTATCAGCATCACCTAGGGACAGCTATAGGACTTTTGCCCACTGGAATAGGAAAAAACATCTGCCAACTTGGTTTGAACATGGTAACATCCAGAGGTGTCAAGTAACGAAGTACAAATACCACCCCTTCCCCCCGCCCATGACGTAGTAAACATGGGGGAGACACTGCAGTCTACCTAATCAATGCGAACAACGTGTATGTATCGCCATGTTTCCACCATCCCAACGGCAGGTCACGTGATCTGCAGGCACCTTCTGATCACATTGTAACGGACTGACGTGTTGTGTGAGCGAGGTTACGCATTAAGAGTTTGTCCTTAATGGAATTTCTACATTACTTTTACTTTTATACTTTAAGTGTTTTTGAAACCAGTACATTTATACTTTTACTTAAGTAAAAAGCTTGAGTCGATACTTCAACTTCTACAGGAGTCTTTTTAAACCCTTGAATCTGTACTTCTACTTGAGTAATGAATGAATGTGAATACTTTTGACACCTCTGGTAAAATCTACTATATTTACTTTGAAGAAGAGTAACATTGCAACTAAAACATTACCGTAGGTGAGAGATGTTCTGCTTGGTGAAACAGAAGAGTGTGAAGATAATAGGGAGAACTTCTTCCAGAGCTTCGAGAAGAGAAGCTGACGGACTGTTTCCAACCACACAGATCTATAAATTTTTTAAAAAAAAACAGGAAACAAGGTGTGAGAGCCATTAAAGGATTAGACATAAACAGAGAGACAGAGACAGATGTGTGACTGGTGTAAAGTATAAATCTCCAGCTGCAACAGGCAACCCAACCACCACAACAACACAAAAATATGTGGACGCATACTGTGCTGGCCGGTCTAGTCAAATCATCGGCGATGGTCCGGTCGACGGGGGTTGCAGGCCGTCATTTTCGAGCGGGCGCTGCTGCCTGTTGGAACACTGTCGTCGATCCCCCTGGTCTAATGCAAGCGCTCACAGAGTGTGACCCCCAGTGGACTTTTTAGGGATAGCAACTACTTTTATAGAAAAGCAATTTATGTCTTTCTGTCATCCGGCGGTCCGTAGGTTTGACACCCCTGCCCTACAATGTTGTTTGCACAGAAATGAAAAAGGTCTAGAAATGTACATTATATTAGTATATTATATATTATTATTAATGCAATTAGTTTGTTTTACTGCTTTTTGGGACTACAGATGAAAAATAGCTTTTTGGCTAACTACGCATTTACATAAATGTTTTTATTAAATGAGCACAGTCACGTATCATGTAAACCAAAACAATAACTTCAAAAACAAAGAAAGAACGACCCATTGGGCGCCAAGGGCCTAATGCTAGGTGTAACATAACTCATAACTCCTTATGACTTCACCCAAAGCGGCGTGCATTTTTCAGTAAATATAATTCAATATCACTCTCAAAATAATCCAATTGGAATCTTTTCATTGATATTCCCCCCCAAACATCATACCTACGAACTCAGAGGAGACCAATATACAGTACTGCCAAGGAAATGGACATTCTTTGGATATCATCTCTTTGACGCCACAGAGTCCATGACCCCTTAACCCAGGGGTGTCAAAGTCAAATGGACGGAGGGCCAAATAAAAAATTTAGCTACAAGCCGAGGGCCGGACTGTTCGAATGTTCATTGAAAAATTTTTAAATGACGCATATAGTCTAGTGAACCTAATTGAACCTACTGAAAACCTAACAAATATATTCCAATATGATCAGATAAATAAAGCAATATTTTCTTATGGCTCTGTCAGTAATCTTTAATTTTCAACAGACACAAAAGACAAATTTCCTTTATATAAAAATCCCCATAACATGAACATTAAATGAAAGAAACCGGTATTCAAGGCACCATCAGTAGCCTATATTTTCTATTTTAGCAAAAGTGGGCTAAATTTACTTCAAAGAAAAAAACAATAATAGCAATTTTCTATCATCCACTCAACTGAAATATTTTTAAAATATAATTGGATTGAAATACAATAAAATAAAGTGCAAAAATCTATTAATCAAAAACAACACTTTGTTTAAGGAGAAGTAACATGCAGTGAAAACAAATATTAAACTTTAACTTTTAAACTTGAACTGAGTAAAAACTCTAAATATGTGATTGCACAGTAATGTTCACTTGTTTGAGGTTGAGGGTGATACTTGGTGGTGTCCCATCTTTTCCACAAGTTCATCAATGTTCGGGGTAAGGCTCTGAGCTGAGGAAATCCTCAGAATTGAGTGGAGGTGTTCAGCAGTAAGTCGACTTCTGTGTGATGTTTTGTTCAAGTTCATCAAAGAAAACAGTTGTTCACACAGGTATGTGCTGCCAAACATAGACAACGTTTGAGCAGCCTGGATGCGCAGCTGGGGCATTGTGTCGGGGAGGAAACGGGCAAACTCCGCAGCACCCACTGCCGCATATTTTGCCCTCAGTGCATCATTGCATTGGAGGTCAATCAACTCCATTTGGAGGTTTGGTGGTGAGCTTTCCACGTCAACAGCAAATGGGTTACCGAGCAGTTCCAACCTGCTTTTTTGTGCTTCAAAGTCAGCAAATCGGCGTCGAAAGTCAGCGGCAAGCATACCTATTTTATCAGCCAACTGTGCGCTCGGGAACGCAGATTATACTCTTTCAGTACCGCCACACTTTCTCCACACAGAAGACACACAGGTTTTCCAGCTACCTCCGTGAACAAATACTCCGACTCCCACCTTGTTTGAAACCCCCGGTTCTCAGTGTCCACCTTCCGTTTTGCCATTTTTGATGGGTATCTGAAAGTTAATTTTACTGTGATGCTGACAACTGCTGTGCCAATAAATATTGAAATGAAGCAGCCTACTGCTCGGTGCGTCACCGTTGCATTGTGGGAAATGTAGTATTGGTGCGTGTAAAAGATCTGCGGGCTGCCGGCTTGCTGCGGTCTGCGGGCCGGTTCTAATAATAAATCAAGATCATCCCAGGGGCCGTAAAAAACCTTCTCGCGGGCCGGATGTGGCCCGCGGGCCTTGACTCTGACATATGTGATATACAGTATATACACATAAGGTTTACAGTATGCCGTCCAATTCTACTGATGTCTACTGAGTGTGCATCTCTTCTACAAGGCCACCAGACATCCAGGCGACCTGAAATCGGACTAAGTATCTCTTTCTTTAAACCAAGCTAGTCTGCTAAACTTGCTGTTGATTCTAGTGTCTTAAGTTAATTTGATTGCTGATTTGCTTTAGTTTTTTGTCGTCTCACGACCAGTTCTCTTTGTTTGAAGTTATCTTGGTTGCTAGTTTGTTCAAGCTCTTTCAGTCTTTTAGTGCCAGTTTGTGTTCTAGATTCTACTATTAAGTTAACTGCCAGTGTGCCCTCCTAACTCTGCTAGGTTTTGACCTGATCTAAGTCTGTTTTGCCTTGTTTTCTGAAGCAAATAAGACTTGTATCCTCAAACTCTCATTTTGTCAAAACACCACATGGTGTTTGTTCACTGATTAGGGTGTCAAGCTATTGGTGCTTTGCATTTTGAGGAGTTTCTGTCGAGGCCAATCGACCTTTTGTCTCCTAAACGACGGGGGAGCGGCCAGCGCAGCCGCAGCCGACTTCCACTAACGAGGGAGTATTTAACTAGATATCGTGGGAAGCGTTAGCTTCAGCGTTTACGTGTCCTCGCAGCACAAAGACGAGCAGAACAAAGACAAGGAGTCTTTCGTGGAGTCTTCGGGGCGGCTGAATGCGGCGCCTTCTTCTGCTATTTTTAATAATGTGTTTGACCCCTTTACCCGTGCCTGTTCGAATCTCTTCCCGCAGATACTACAGGCCTCGGGCTAGATCTGCTCTCTATCGTAACCTCTCCTCTCTCACCTATCCCACCCGCTCCACACACGTCCAGCACCTCGTCACAGGAGGTCTCTGGAACTGCCAGTCAGCGACTCGCAAGGCTGACTTCATCTCCGGCTTCGCTATCCAGCAGTCACTCGACTTCCTCGCTCTGACCGAGACCTGGATCACACCTGAGAACACATCCACCCCAGCCGCTCTCTCCTCCGCCTTCTCCTTCAGCCACACTCCCAGGCCCACTGGTAGGGGTGGTGGCACAGGTCTACTCATTTCACCCAAATGGAGCTTTTCTCTCTACCCTCTACCACCATCCACCCCATTGTCCTTTGAATTCCATGCTGTAACAATCACTCACCCGGTACAATTAACCATCATTGTCCTCTACCGTCCGCCAGGCTCCTTAGGTCATTTCTTGGAAGAACTGGACATTCTCCTGTCTAATTTCCCCGAAAATGGACCTCCGCTCATCCTCCTGGGTGACTTCAACATCCAGACAGAGAAGTCACCTGACCTCTTACACCTACTCTCTTCCTTCGCTCTGTCACTCAGTCCCTCTCCTCCTACTCACAAAGCCGGCAATCACCTTGACTACATCTTTACTAGAAACTGCTCTACCACTAACCTCTCTGTAACTCCACTTCATGTGTCTGATCACTTCTTCATCTCTTACTCCCTTCCACTCTCTATAACTAACAAACCTCCCTCATTGACTAACTCTATACCGGCTCGTCGCAACATTCGCTAACTCTCTCCCTCCTCGCTGGCATCCTCTGTTCTATCAGCCCTCCCTTCAACTGATCTCTTGCATCCAAACGCAGAGTCTCTCCTCTCAACTCTTTCCTCCTCTCTAGACTCTCTCTGCCCTCTTACGACACGACGGACTGGCAAATCCCCTCCGGCTCCGTGGCTGTCTCAACCGGTCCGTGCCATGAGAGCCACCATGCGAGCGTCGGAAAGGAAATGGCGTAAATATAAACGACCTGAGGACCTGCTCGAATTTCAATCTCTCCTCTCCTCGTTTTCTGCTTCTATCTCTGCTGCCAAAAGCTCCTTCTACCAATCCAAAATCGAATCCTCATTCTCTAACCCCAAAAAACTCTTCTCGATCTTCTCCAATCTCCTCGAACCCCCTACCCCTCCTCCCCCCCCACCCTTCTTCCGGGAGACTTTGTCAACTACTTCACCAAGAAAATAGCTGACATACGCTCCTCCTTCTCAAACCCACCTCCTACTTCTCGCGTCCCACCGACCTCACCTCTTTCGCCCTCACTTTCCTCTTTCACCGCCCTCTCTCCTAACCAAATTCTTACCCTAGTAACCTCTGCCCGTCCGACCACCTGCCCTCTTGACCCCATTCCATCACATCTTCTACAATCTATTGCACCTGACCTTCTTCCGTTCCTCACCTGTCTCATCAACAACGCTCTGATATCTGGCTGTTTTCCCAATTCTCTGAAGGAGGCAAGAGTCAACCCTCTCCTGAAGAAACCCACCCTCAACCCTTCTGAAGAAAACAACTACAGACCGGTCTCTCTTCTTCCCTTTTTGTCCAAAACCCTTGAACGTGCTATCTTTAATCAACTCTCCTCTTATCTCCACTGTAACAACCTCCTTGACCCCCACCAGTCAGGTTTCAAGGCAGGCCACTCTACAGAGACTGCTCTCCTTGCTGTCTCTGAGCAACTCCACACTGCTAGAGCCGCCTCTCTCTCCTCTGTCCTCATCCTTCTGGACCTCTCTGCTGCATTTGACACGGTCAACCACCAGATCCTTATTTCCTCCCTTCAGGAACTTGGTGTCACAGGCTCTGCTCTCTCCCTTCTCTCGTCCTACCTCGATGGTCGCACCTACCGGGTAACCTGGCGAGGATCTGTGTCGGAACCTTGTCCTCTTACTACTGGAGTTCCTCAGGGTTCCGTGCTGGGTCCCCTCCTGTTTTCGCTTTACACCAACTCTCTTGGCGCTGTCATTCGCTCGCATGGCTTCTCTTACCACAGCTATGCCGATGACACCCAACTAATTCTCTCCTTTCCTCACTCGGACACCCAGGTGGCGGCTCGGATCTCTGCCTGTCTAACTGACATCTCTCAGTGGATGTCCGCCCCACCATCTGAAAATCAACCCCGACAAGACTGAACTACTTCTCTTTCCCGGAAAAGATTCGCTTACCCAGGACCTGACAGTCAACTTTGGGAACTCCGTACTAACGCCCACCTCGACCGCTAAGAACCTCGGCGTCACACTCGACAGCCAACTCTCCCTGACTCCCAACATTGCCGCGACAACGCGATCCTGTAGATACACGCTCTACAATATCAGGAGAATACGTCCCCTTCTCACTCAGAAGGCAGCGCAGGTACTGATTCAGGCTCTTGTCATCTCCCGCCTGGACTACTGCAACTCCCTCCTGGCAGGTCTCCCTGCCACCGCCATTCGACCTCTGCAGCTCATTCAGAATGCAGCAGCTCGACTGGTCTTCAACCTTCCGAAATTCTCCCACACTACTCCACTCCTCCGCTCTCTTCACTGGCTACCGGTGGCCGCCCGCATCCAGTTCAAAACATTGGTGCTCACGTACCATGCTGTGAATGGATCGGGTCCAGCTTACATCCGGGACATGGTCAAACCCTACATCCCAACCCGCACTCTCCGCTCTGCATCTGCAAAACTACTCGTCCCTCCCTCACTGAGAGCAAAACACTCGACTAGGTCTCGACTCTTCGCTGTCCTTGCGCCGAAATGGTGGAACGAGCTCTCTGAAGACACCAGGACCGCAGAGAGCCTTCACATCTTCCGCCGCAAACTAAAGACACACCTCTTCAGACTCTACCTCGACTAAAGACTAACAAATTGTAGCACTTAAATTGTACTTGTAACGTCACTCATCTATAGCAAATTGTAAATTGGCTTATTTGAGGAAATTGCACTTTCTTGTTTCTTGTTCTCCTGAGTTTGTACCCTATGGTTGAATGCACTTATTGTACGTCGCTTTGGATAAAAGCGTCAGCTAAATTACATGTAATGTAATGTAATGTTATCATGAGGAAGCGCTTTGTGAATTAGTTGTCACAATTTACATGACAGAGAGAGATGTTTTTTTCTGCGCTACTTCTGTTATTAATTATTCAACTTAATCTCAGATCACCAAATTTATGTAAATTATGGGATTTTTAAAATTGGGTTTAGAACCTGTTTAAAAAAGAAATAGTAATGCCTGCTTGCTTTTTCTCAATAGTTCACGCCTATGGAGAAAAGTAGGAGACATGTAGAAGTGTTGGTATTTTACTTTAGCGTATGTCAATTGAGTAGATCATAAGACAGCCCGGATCCTGGCTTTGTTTAATGGATGTTTAGTGTTAATGTTAATAAAAAATATATTTCTCAATTCGGATGGAAAATCGTTAAATTGGGCATTTATTAAATAATACCTGCAAGTTCTACTGGGTAAAATAACTGACATGGTCGAGTGTAGCCACAGTTGAGGTTCGCTGCTTGCTATTCCATGACTGTTTGTTTTGGTTGGCCTCTCTCCTCTCCATGGGATCACTGCCCGTGTCTAATCTTATTTACCTGGGTCAGAAAAAACACACACACACACACACACACACACACACACAAAAACAGGAGATGATGATGTTATGCTTTGCTGTGATTGGTTAGTCATGACTGCCTCCTCTCCTTTCCGCTCCCTCTCTGCACCTCTGTCCCTTTCCCCCTGCTTTCTTCTCTCTCAAGCCTTGCACATCCCTTTACAATTAAACACTAGTCACATCCATTGCTTTCTCTCTCTCCCTTCCTCTAGTTTCTCTACCTCTCCCCCCATTCTACTCTTTTCCTGCCGGAAGATGATGATGTTGAGGATGATGATGTGATACTGAACAACCAATGATCAGGCAAGGAGGGAGTGGAGGGGGTGTGTTCAGATGCTTGGATCTGATCACTGCTGATGAGAATGCAGAGGAAGAAGGGGAAGAGAGGGAGGTAGAGGTGGGTGGGGGAGGCCTTGTCCAAGGTGAGGAGCGCCAACGCTGTTTTAATAAAAGAGGAGAAAAGGAGAAAGGGGAGCAGGAGGAGGAGGAGGGAAATGGGAAGCTGTCGCCTGTAAGAGGGGGATCAACCTGCGTTGTCATGGAAAAATTTCGACCCAAAAGACCAACCACCCTGGCTCTGTTTCCCCAGCTACCACAAGCTGGCACCCAGGTAGGGAGGCTGGGAGGTTCCCTTGATTTTTAACAAGCTGGAAAGATTGGCTACAGAGTGAATGAGCGTGTGTATGATTATTGGTTATCTTGTGCATAGAACAAGGCAATAATTGGTTACTGTGTGTGTGTGTGTGTGTGTGTGTGTGTGTGTGTGTGTGTGTGTGCGCATGCGTGTGCGTGCGCATTCCCTGGGAGGAGACAGTTTGTGTTTGCTGTTGGGTGTGTGTGTGAGTGATCAGATCTTAAAATGGTTTAGCTGTAGCTGAACGTTGGTTGGCTTCCTCAAAGTTCCTTTAATGTGTGTTGGTGGTAAAATTGTCAGCAAATACCTATAAAATATTTTGAATATTTCAATCTATACCATGAAGTATTACAGCGGACACACATAGATGTGCGGCTAGGGGTTCAGTGACTTGCTTAAAAACATTGCTTTTGTTGGGACTGACCCTGGTTAATCAAAAGAATTCAATCTGCTCTGCCATCTTGTGAAATACTGTAAAAAAACAACAATATCTAAGATGTGTCATTTGTAGCAGTATCTCATAGTAAGAGAGAAAGAGAATCAAAGAAGAGGATAGTGCAAAGAACATTACATTGAAAACATGTCTGGACTCTAGATGATAGTGAATGAGATAAAGCCCTGGCTCCTCAGGTAGTGTGCAGTAATGAGGGGTCTCTGGAGGGAGCCAGCAGTAGTGACGAGCACTCACTCAGCAGTTTTAAAAGAGTGAATCCCTTTGGTTTAGTTGCATCGTGTTTACTTAATGACAGATCAGAGCATGTAATTTGGACATAACCTGGTTTGCTTTTAATATCAACATACAAATTACTTATTATAGACAGTTTTCTTATTTTGTTTCTTGAATGAAATTGCTTTGGGTGCAGATTCACTACTCAGGATGTCCCTCAAGACATCAGACAAGGATGAGGCAAAAGACTTCTAGAATATTAGGCTAAAATCCTAAAACGAGAGAATGAGGTGAGGATGATTAAGCAAAGTTAAATACATAAAAAGTTGGTAGCCAATCCCAGGGAACATGAAATGATAGCATTGGCAAGTCACACAAAAAAACAAGAAGTAATTAAATGTCCTCAATGAACACAAATGTCGGTCAAAGTTTCCCATGGTTCAATTCAATTCAATTAATTTTATCTTGTATAGCCCAAAATCGCAAATTACAAATTTGCCTCAGAGGGCTTTCCAGTCTGTACACATACAACATCCTCTGTCCCGAAGCCCACACATCGGCACAGGAAAAACTCCCCAAAGAATGGAAAGAAACCTTAGGGAGAACGTCAGAGGAGGGATCCCACTCCCGGGATAGACAGACTACAATGGATGCCATGTGTACAGAATGAACAATGTATAATACATGCAATTCCTACGACAGAAATGATTCAAGTAATTGTGAGTAGTAAGTCAGGCGCACAGCAGGACCACTGCAGAGGCAACCACCATCAGATAGAGCCCCCATCCACAGAAGCCTGTGGGGAGGGAGAGCACAGAGACTTTAGGAGAGGGTAATGTTGGTTTATGATTACAGTAATATGATAAATATTTAAAATAATAATGATGATGATGGCAGCAGCAGGTGTCAGCAGGGCTACGGCAGGTGTCATGAACAGGGTCCAGAAGGAACTACGATCTATGGAGACCTGCTAGGGGAAAAAGCTCAAAAAAACTTCCGGAAAGAAGCTGAATTAGTCATGTACATTAATAAAACGTGGATTATTGTAGAAAGAGAGCGTGAGAGCGGAGCTTGGTGTGTCTTAAGAAGTCCCCCGGCAGGCTAAGCCTATAGCAGCTTAACTAAGGGCTGGTCCGGGCTAACCTGAGCCAGCCCTAACTATAAACAAAATCAAAGAGGAAAGTTTTAAGCTGTACTTTAAAAGAGCTGACCGAATCTGCCCCCCGGACTGGAAGTGGAAGCTGGTTCCACAAAAGAGGAGTTTGATAACTGAAGGCTCTGGCTCCCATCCTTTTTAAAACCCTAGGAACAACAAGTAACCCAGCATCTATGGAGCGCAGCTGCCTTGTAGGGCAATACGGTGTTACAAGCTCTTTAAGATAAGACGGTGCCTCACCAGTAAGTGCCTTGTAGGTGAGGAGAAGTACCTTAAATTCTTGATTTAACAGGGAGCCTGTAAGTGGATCTATTTTATTCACCTTATTTATGCTTCATTTAGGCAATACTATCAGATAAGACTCCATAAACTCTTCTTTGTTGTGCACATAATAATCAATTGTATCAATCAATCTATTATCAACATAATCAAACAGATGGCCAATGAGATCAGATAAGGCATATCTACGTCAGAGCACAAATCAGGTCCAGGCGCGTGGAAATCAACCATTCGCGAGTAAAAGTCGGTCTTGAGCGAGCAAAAGTCTGTCTCGAGCAAGCAAAAGTCGGTGTCTTTGCTCGCTCGCAAAACTTGAACCTGTGTTTTCTTTTCACTGTTTTTTCTTTTTGACAGACAATACAAACCTGATTTTTGGATTGGCTAGTTATGCATTCCAAGAACTATAAAAGGCCATTTCCACACTAAAGAAAAGGGATAGAAAGTCAAAATTATGAGATAAAACGTTGTTAAAACACAAACAACACCTCTCTGTAACCTTAGTAGACCGTAGATGACAACCAGCAACAACCCTATTTTACTATCATTTGACCAATACGGAGTCTCACTTCAGCCGCACACTAAAAGCAAATCATCCAGCTTGCAAACCGGTCCATATTGGTAAAATAATGTTTCGCTGGCATGCCATTGAACCGGAAAGTCTGAATCTGTGAATATCTTGCCCACTTTACCGAACTATGAAGGAGCCTGCGAATGTCTTATCTCATCATTTTGATTTTCAAACTCCATAATTATTTTTTAGTGCGGAAATGGACTACCATAGTTCTGGGAACGCAGAACTGAAAAGAGATGACAGCCAGCCAATCCAAAGGACGAAGTTTGTAATAAATTAGATGTAGAGATACCATGGTATCTGGCGGACCCAGTCATCATGGTATGGGTGGTGGAGGGTTGCATCTGGTGCGGCTGAAATGACAACTGACAGCAACAAGTTTTGACAGCATGACCACAGGGAGAGAGACGGGAACCTGTGAAATGCACACAAATGTTCAGCTAGTCTTTCTGACTGTGTCACAGTGTGGGTTATTTCCTGTCTTATTTTGTAGTTTCTGCTTCGTGTCTCCCTGGGTAACTTCACTTCCTGCCTGGTCCTGTCATCCACTGTGATTGTCTGATTGTTTACACCTGTGTCGAATCACCTGCACCTCCCTAGTGTATTTAAGCAGTGTGTGTCTCTTGTCACTTGTCGTGTCATTGTCGAATGTCCTGGATGTCTCTAGTTCCTGCCTGCCGTTTTCCCCCGGTTCCTGTGTGTGTTTTTGCCCGTTGGCCTTTTGCTTTTTGCCCTTTTGACTATTAAAGTCTTTTGCTTTTGAAAGTCTGCATTTTGAGTCCTGCCTTCCCCGCATCCCCGACAGAATGACGCGACTAAAAGAGTTTTTTCCCCGGGACCAATTCCGGGGACCCGTCTGGCTTTGGGCGGGCCACGCAGCATACAGCTGGCTGCTCGGCATGGGGAAAATGCCCTCGCTGGATCCACAGCTGGCTTCCCAGCTGGCTTCTGGCCTACTCCGTCGAGTCCCCAGAAGGCGCTCGGGTGGCCGCTCTTACCATCCTCCGCCCAGAGGAGGAGGCCTTCTCGTGGTCGATTGGAGACCGATCTCACTGGGATCGGGTGATGGACCTCGCAGCCAAGCTCCAGGCCACCTTCTCCCTCCACGCTGGGCCGCAGCCCACCACTTTCCGCGCTGGGTCGCAGCGCTCTCCCGTTCCCGCTGGGCCGCCGCAGTGATCTCCTGTTCCTCTATGCCCCAACCCCGACTCGGCCAGTCCCCGCTCCGAGACTCCAGGCCCCAACCCCGACTCGGCCAGTCCCCGCTCCGAGACTCATGACCCCGACGCCTCCAGTCCCCGCTGCGAGACTTATGACCTTGACGCCTCCAGTCCCCGCTCCAAGACTCAGGCTCCCTCCCTCCTATCCCGTGGTTCTCTCCCACCCTCCCGTTGGTGATTTGAGGGCCGTCTGGGATCCGGCCCTTGAGGGGCAGGTTATGGGGGGGCTGAGCCGTCGACTCCGGAGGTGTTCCATGTTCCAACCGTCTCTGGTTTCCCTTCACTGCATGAAAAGTGGGATTTTCGGCAGTATGCGGCACTGTAAATTGTCGTGGAATTTCAGGTTTACGGCAATTTGCGGGCAACGCCGAAAACTGCCGGAAATTGTCAGAAATTGATGTGGGCCTCCCTTGGCAGTTGTCCCCCCATGAACCCCCTCCTCCTAATTCTAGGGGAGGCTTTGACATGTAAATGAAAATGCTGTGAGCTATACAAACGCAAATCAGGGTCGCAGAGGGAGTTTTAGCCCAGGTGACATTTTTTTAAAAGGTAAGAAAATCTCTAGTACAAATAGATCAGGCTCAGTAGCCTAATTATAGTCTTACATTTTAGCTTGAATTGATTTATTTAATTCAAATATGCTAGATTTCTGTGTATGCCATTAGCAATGGCAAATGTTATGTAAAAAAGATACACAAAAAATCTTCTTTAAAAGATGAGTTTTAATCAAGGTATAATGAGCATTTCATGCAAACAACATTTGAATCAGCATGGGGGTCTGCAGAGATCACAGTCTCCTAGAGCTCAACTACAGTGCATAGTGGCAGGACTACAGTGACCTTTTCTTTGGTCTTGCTTAAATGCACAGAGGATGTATTAACCACACATCTTCTAGCAATGCGCTCAACTGGCAGAAATGATGCTGGGTATGACGTGTCTGTTCCCTGCAAGCCCCAAACTTCTATTGGCTTTCCATAAAAATGTCTGTCCGGGTGGGGATGAAGCCACGAAACTTGTGCAAGAACATGTTTAAATGCCGTACCCTTTGACACAACATTAACAACAATAAACTGCTTTATAATG